TAAGCAGACAATTTTGGCCTTTGACAGGTCTTAATGTCATCATTCCCAGTGATAATCACATCCCTGACTGTACAGGGCAATAAGACACATCAGAGTGCAAATAATCACTTAAGACATAAAAAAGCACCAAATTAAAAACAATATTGGTTCATTCAAACTCAGGGATTTCACTCGCGGTTAGGCCAAAACACCAGAAAATTAGGGATGGACAACTCCAGCCCTGAACGACAACAGTGTACGCAGGGGTTTTTTTTGTGTGTGTGCGCGCTTCCTCGCAATTGATAAATTTAATTCACTGACAGGCTAGTTTTCCAAGCATTAAATTCCTGCTGATCGAAAGGAGACCACAAAAGCCTAAAAACACTGCAGGACCAGAGATGTCCTTCCCCGTTCCATAGAGTATATCCCCAATCAAGACTGGCCAGTAAACAGGACAGGTTACTCAGAGCTAAACCCAGAACAGCCACAACTTTGGGATTTGGATTGAAGCAAAGCAAAAAAACAAAAAAAAAATCTCTTCCAGGTTTTCATCAATTGTCTTATCCTGCCAACTTTGAAATACTGCTTTGCGTTATTCCCACTCAGTCCCCAAAATGATGCAGTATGGTGAAGTCAACTGAATTCTTACCCTCGGTGTACTGTTTCCAAAATGCATTCTGAAACACAAAAGAGGATGATTAGAACTTTGCTAGTCTATTGCTGTTGCATTCGGAAAACATAATTACTATAAAGCTGCTTTCGCATTGGACGCGAAACGAATTTTTCGCACGACAGATTACGTGCAAAGACGCGAATACACGCGGTTCAGTGTGAACTCGGCTTAAGTGTTGACCCACTACAAGCGGAATACTCAACTGTTTGCGGGATGTTTTCAAAAACCTCGCGGGCTTCCTCGTAGTTGCAGATCTCCTCGATACACTCCCTCTCTAAATTTCCTGGGGTGAATAATTCGAAGTCAAATCTGTTGAGCAACAGACGGCGTCCGAGGAATTTATTCGCGGTTCCTTCCTCCATAAAAACTAGGAAGTAAATGTTATCACAGGTGAATTCTGGATATTTGGAGGACATCCAAAAACGTGAGGAACACAACCACAACCATAACCATAATTCAGATGCGTTAGGCTATGGACTACTGTAGCAAGTCAACATAAAGATGATATAGGCTACTGGAGAAAAATGACAGTGCATATTTATGGTGACATTTGGATGGCCTGTGACAAAAAAAATAAAACTAAATTGTTGACAGTCCTAAAAACAGATGAATACAATGCAGTCCCGGAGGATACGTTTTCTCGCTAGCTATGGAAACAAACTTTCATAGACTCGACCAACTACCACACTATTGCATTAACGGTTAGAAACTGAAGCCTTTTTGACACTATCACATCAAGTAAGACGATGTTACGAAGGTAACGATCACCGAATTTGGACTGGTTCAACGCCCACGACAAACATGGGTGTTAAATGAGGACCGAAGCCGTAGCTCACCTTCATCTGACCGGTCCTCTTCCTTCGTGATACTTCTTAAAGGTTCACATACAGTGAATCCACCAAGGAGTCCACATAAAAATGCATATAGTAGCATAGCTGATTCAAATTGACCCACTAAAAAAAACTGACTTCCAACTGGCTTCACATATAAACATGTAAAAATTAGCCTACCTTAAAAATCAATGAGGCCGTCTCTAATAAAAATAATAAAACACTTATCTACGTTCGTCTCCAAAATTCTATTGTCACGTTTTATAGACTACTCATAATACATCGTGAGAACCGAACAAAACATTGATGCGGTTCGAGTATGATTACAATACCGCTCAGACAAAAACAAATCAAGTGAAGTCGCTACGTCACTACCTTCCTAAAGTTCCCCATATCTGAAATATAAACGATCTTATCAAAATATTAGTTTTCAAATCGGTCGAACAGATTCAGTATCAACGCAACATTAGGCTTCGCTTGAGTCGTACAGATTCATCACTGGCAGAACTTAAACCTTTATTACGACGCAACGTTACGCTCGCACAGTCCAGTTTCACTTTGGTCCAGGTGGTGCACCTTTGGCGTCTGATACGTCATATGGCGCCTGCTCACTATAACCAGTCAGTTTCAGCCCTGCTTTTCACAACGTGTATTGCCACTCGAATCAATATAAAAAGTATGAATTGAATTGTGAAATCAATGCTGTATCCTAATAATCCACATACTTCCAAGTGTAATTTACTTCAAGCCCTCTTAACCTTTTAACTGCCTCAACCTTTTGGCAAAGCATGTTTTGAGTCACTGTGTCTCATTGGAAGATTCGTTGATTAAGCCATCTCTGACACTCGGTTGAGGAATTTTATGCTGAAAAAATCCAATCCAGTTAAGTTCAACACATCTTTCAGAGAGATACAGTGACTCAAAATGTGCTCTACCGACATGTTGAGTGGGCAGTTAAAGGGTTAATCTGTCCTGTTTTTGGTTTGCTGAAAGTCTTGTAGATCTGCTAAATCGAACGAGTGATTTTTCTAAATGGAAAAGAAAGGCAATAGCTAGGCGCATAACTTTTTGATAGACACGTACATTCCACATATGAAGCATTTTAAATGGACTGCGCGCCTCTACAAAAATAGCAGTGCGTTTGCGGATCACGAACGCTAGATGGCAGGAATCACAAAGATCAGTTGTTATTGTGACAAACAACATACCGTTCAGATAACGCCAGGTGACGTTGAAGTGCGGTACCCATCACTACCGCCCTCGACCAAGAGGGTTTGAACCACAGAGATATAAAAAAAACAAGAGTGGAAACGTCATTGGCTGGACCAAAGCGCACACGGCAGAATAGCTCCGCCATCTTGTGTTTGTATAAATGTCCAATGAGGCACATGTAAACAGTAAACGTGGGTGACGACAGATGTTCTTTTTTGGGGGGGGGGGACTTGTTTTCAGTGTTCTGTTTCATCTTTTCATGTTTAAAAAAGGACACGAATAAGGAATTGTAAATCAACAATATTTATGCTCCATTATTTGGCCAAGCTAAAGAATAAGCGCTATGATTGTCTTACCCTTTATATTATCGCTCAGACTACGTTTTCGTTTCGTTCAAAGAAAAAGCGTTCGCATTCAACTGTGCCTGTGAGTCTGACTCAGGTCTGGAATAAACTAGTCGTTATATGCATATATGAATTTATATGTATGCTTTGAGTATTAAGATCAGAACAACTTCATTCTGAAGTGTTCAGACCTACCTGATGTCTTCATTTAGTCCGTCTTTGCTCTGACACAATGGATAATAGGATGATACTGCCTGTTGCCCCAACTGGGATCAATGTAGAAGTCTCAAAACTAAAGTATGAATATGAAACCGCGCCAGTTTAAGTTTCTGCGAATACACTGTTCAGAATAAATGAATAAACCGAAGCCTTTTTTTGACAGGTAATTTAACTGGCACCTTTTTGCCAGTTATTTTAACTGTAATTTTACAATAAGTTTACCACAGAGTTCAGTGCATGTTCAGTGTAAACCACGGTTAAATGCGCGCAGGACTCCACTTATAGTTAAAATGACCAGGAGACAATGCGTTAATTTAACGGTTAAATTCAGTCAGTTTATAACAGTGTAGGAAAGCCGAACTTGATTTCGTTGCTTTGTTGCGACTGCTTATGTGCATGGTGCAAACCAGCTTGTCCAGTATGTACGAGTGCTTTTGAATGGAAATGCATTGTGACGGGACTGGACATTTTGTCCGATGTAAGCAAAAATCCGTTATATAAAATCCAGTATATTCGATGTTTATTTAATCGAAAAACATTACAGAAAAATCGGGACTTGAGCTGTTGTCCAGTATGAGCGATTTTCCGTTTTATACGACGAGGGTTTAGGCGAGTTCTACTGTATTTTCCATTGAACGTCTGCCGCGATGTACATACACAAGATGGCGGCTGTGTGCTGCCACAGAAACGAGGCGATTGTCCACTTTAGTTTTTTTTTTATATCTCTGTGGTTTGAAGGGGCCTAGGATCTCTCACTGGCCTACAATCCCAGCCAATATATAGACCATGAATCAGTGACCACGTTGATAGGCCTATATTTTCAATTTTATTTATTTTATATATATGTGGAGGTCACATGTTTACGTGGGTTTTCTCTCTCCGTCCAAATACAATGCAAATTGGAGACTAAATCGCCTGTAGATGTCAGTGAATGGTGTATGTACCCTGCCTTTTCCCCATAGTCAGGTGGGATAGGCTTCAGCTCCCCCACAACCCTAGTGAGGAGGAATCATTATAGATAATGGATTGATATATAACGGATTGCTGCTCTTGCTGCCCTCCTAGGTCACATTCTTGTGTGTGATTTTTTAGATTTATTTAAACAGGGAGCCTGACTAAGATTATCTCCTTTTCAGCTGGGTCATGCATCACAAAATATCCAACATAGTCTATATACAACCCAAAATCAGAAGAAGTTGGAATGGTAAATTTGAACCAAAAAGCAAATATTTGTAAATTATCTTTGATCTGTCTTATGTTAAAGACATTGCAACAGCACATTATTGATGTTTCACAAGATGCATTTTATAGATTTTTCAGACAAAACACTTATTCAGATTTTGATTCTTGCCATGTATTAAAAAAAAAAGTCAGGACGATAAAGTATTTGCTACTTTGTGATGTTGCCATTTCTTCTTACGACGATACCAAGTGATTAAGCATTTCTGGTGAAATTTTGTCCCATTCCTCCTGCAAACAATTCTCAAGGTGCGCAACAGTAAAGCTGCTTTCACACCGGACGCGAAATGAACTTTTCGCATGACAGATTACATTCTAAGTCAATGCAAAGATGCGAATACATGTGTTTCGCGAGTATTCGCATCTTTGCATTGACTTTGAATGTAATCTGTCGTGCAAAAAAATCGTTACGCGTCCAGTGTGAAAGCGGCTTAAGGGGACTTATGGTTAATCAAACATTTTTCCTAGATATTCACTTTTTAAACTAAGAATTATTATCAAAGCTGCCAGCTAGCTCACTCGGTAAAAGCATCCGGTTGTGAAGCAGAAGTGACTATCATGGCGCGGGTTCGATCCCCGCCTCGTACCAGCAGGCAGTGGTCAGCAGCTCTTTTCAGAGTAGCGCGCAATTGGCCAATGCGCTACAGGGATGCAAATTGGGAAGGGTCTGCTGGGATAGGGTATTGTAAATAACAAGTTCTCAGGCGCCTCCTGTTGGCCAGACGGGTGCTCGTTAGGAAGATTCTAAGCTCGTTCATGTTCGGGTATCCTCCTTGCGAGGATTCTACCAATGAGTATATAAGAAGCGGTGGCGACGGGCGCGTGCTTCGGAGGAGAGCCGCGAGCTGTCTCACTCTCCTGAATTGGCAATAGGGGGCCGCATATGCGAAAAGCCTTGTACATAGTTCCCCAATTGGACATTCCAGATTCAGGTGGGATTGGAGATGCCAAATTTTTATTAACAAAAAAAAAAGAATTACTATCAAAATAATTCTATTAGAAATTGCAACTTAAAACATGGAGTTTCTGTTGCATCAAATCAGTGGTTGCCATGGCAACGGCTGTTTTAATGAATAAATAGATACTTAGAGAAACACAGTCATTGAGATAACTAAACAATGTTTGGTTATAACTTCAGCTGTAATGTGAAGGAAAAAACATTCCTAATGTCACTAGCTTTTTTTTTTTTTTTTTTTTTTCCAGGTTTCTATGTTCTAGTGTTGATTTTGACCCCCCCCAAATCAATTTTGGCGGGAAACAGATAATTAAATATGCATATTTTGATTTACTCATATTCAGAGGTACATATTGAAAAAAGAGCTCTGTACAGACATAGATCATCACAAAATGAAGAAAACTGCCAAATATGAAGTTAATTGGATGTACAGTTGCTGAGAAATCTGTATTTTCTTGTTTAAAATCTATATTTTTAGAAAAACGTGATTTTAGTTTGGCAGTAATAATGTGATCGAAGTTTGACAGAAATGTTCTCAGGAGGAATACATTTAATATTTTGTTTTTTTAGTTCAATACGTGTTTCCACTGTGTGGCAGTTCATTGCCTCAGAGCCCAGAGAAGTTGACGGCCCGTCTGGACACTGGTGACGTAAGGCTTCCGATGTTGCTCAGTTAATTTTTAACAGGCATTTGGATGTAACTATGAATTGTAGGACTTGACGAAGGTTTGCCAATGTAATTCTGAGCCAATGTGTTTATTTCACTTATAGATAAAAACCAGTGCTTGATGCAGTGTCATCTGAGTGATCAGAGATCACAAGTGTTCAGGTTACTCTTACACATGCTCTTTTGCACAGAAATTCCTCAAGATTCCTTCAATATTTTAAATATGTTATGCACTGTTGAGGTTGAGATGTCCTAATTCCTTTCCTATCTTTCTTTGTGGAACATTGTGTTTAAACCTTTCAGTGATTTTTCCCACACATTTGTGGGCAAATTGGCAATCCTTGGCCAATCTGTGCTCCTGAAGAATTAGGCCCTTGCAGGATTCTAGCAAATCCTGATTACAAGCTGTTTCAAATCATATTCTTTTTCTTTTTTTAATCACACCACTCGTTCTAAACTGCCCCCATCCCAACTTTTTTTTTTTTTTTGTAAGCTTGAATGGCTGGAATGGATGTATATTTACAAATAATGAAGTTGACTAGACAAAACATTAATTATCTTGTCTTCATACTGTCTGCAGTAAAGTATAAGTCAAAGTAAACTTATAAGTCACTACTTTTTGTTTTTACAAGCATCTGCTATACTGTCCCAAATTTTCCTGAGTTTGGACTGTACATAATGTTGCTGAAAGGGGTTATAATTAAAAATGCATAAAATAAACATACAAATATGCAGTAGCACAGTGACAACCATTCAAAACAAGTGCAGTTTTCTTTATTTGCTTTCAAATTTTTAGATTGTATCGTAGAGACTTTTTTTCTTCCATTTTGAGGTTGTACATCCGCCATTTCCTGCTGTTTGTCATTATCATGACTGCAAGGTCAGCAGTGATGTGTCGGCAGCCAAGCCAACTTCAGATCAAATTGTTCATCCATCGGAAAAGAGTCAACATACTGCTCTGCCTCCTCTGAAGTCCCAGTGACCCATAGAGAACACTCAGACAGTCCTCTTGTACATAAGAACCTTCAGAAGCATTCAATTCAAATGCGCGTGAATTTTTGAAATATTGTTAAATTAATTAAGTGACATTCACATTGATGTCTAAATGTATCCGGAAACGTCAATGGGAATATCATGTTCATAGATGTCTAAAAAAAAGTTTATTTTCCTTTGCTTGGTGAATGATTAGAATCAGTTACACTAGTATGATTAAGAAAATTCATGTGGATGTTATTTTTTTAGTTCACTGATGGGGAAAGCCCCAAATCTTGTTTTGCTACACACTCCACAAGGATCATTCGTCTTCTGTCAGTATCTGAATCTGTCTGGTTCTGTTTTATGTATATTTTGTTATTATTCATGTTCCCTTGTTTATTTTAGCAGTTTTATCTGTTAGTCTAGCGTTTCCAGTCATCTGTTATTTGCCAGTTGTTTTCTGTTTTCACTACCGAACTTGCACTGCCCCTTGTTAATTGTTTAATGGCTTCATTGTTCCCTCATTTGTAGCCACACCTCCCTGCACGCTCCTCAGCGCCACACACCTGCACCCAATGCAATTAGGCGCTTAGGTTCCCTATATATTCCCCCAGTTCTGTTTAATGCAGTCAGTTCCCTTTGGCTTATATATGAGCAGTTTCTGATTTCTGAGATTTGCTGCTTATGATTTTATTTATTTTTAAGATTACGCTTCAGTTTTCCTCCCTATGCTTGTTTGATTTCCTGTTTAGCTTTTTCTTGTTTTTGATTTCTGTTATTGATTTGGCTTTGCTGTTCCTACTTCCTGGTTCTGACTTTTGAACTGTACTGTTTTTACTATTCTACATTCCCCCCCATACCAAAATCTCACTCCCTCTGACTGGCCTGGATTGCTTGGCCTTGTTTTATAATAAGACCTGTAAACTGGATTTTTGTCTGCGCCTGAGTTCTGCACCTGCCCCGTGTCTTCATTCCAACATTCTACTGGTTTCATACAAAAATGGCACACAGGACTGAGCACAAGACCTACTGCACAATAATTTAAATGCTGAGTCTAGTTGATTCTGCTGTTGACCATCTTGGTTTGCATGGGGGGAATTTCACATGTGCGCAATTAATCATGAATAAATGTAAAGCGTTTTCAGAAATACACACAAAAACTGAAAAAAAAATTACAAAAATGAAGGAAAATTAAAACCTCAGCAAAACTTTATGGTTCCTAACCAATCATTAGTGTTTCATGCTCTAAGAATTTTAATCTTTGGGCTTTTGTACAGCAGACAGTTTTTGTACTTTGCATGATTGATTCTCTCCTCGTGCAATCACAAGGAGAAAATGCAAACCCCAAACAGAAAGGCCAGAATTGGACCCAAAACTTTCTCAATGTGAGGTAACTGGCTTACCCACCATCAATGCAGAATAGCCCATTCGGCAAAATAAATACACATCCGCTTAACTTACCAGTAATGACAGAACTGCACAGAATTTGACCCAGATCATTCATATGGAGCGCGAATGCTATTATAATGCATATAACAGGTTATGATGTTGTGCTTCTTTGAAGCAGTCAATTAAATATGAGTGAAGGAGGGCCTCAGGGTTAATTACTGAGCCTTTTTATAGAGCGTGCATACAGTGTGTGCTGACATACACATTCCACCTCTGATCACCATGTACTAAGGTCAAAAAAAGCATTAATAAAGACCTGCTCCTGTCTGCTATTTAATTAGGTCTTCATTCTTTGGCCCGTATTCAAGATGCACTTCAAACGCAGAAATGCTGATCTCAGACCAGTTTCCCCTACACACCCCTTCACTACATCCACTATGAGGGGAAAAAACAAAACTGGTCCAAGATCTGTGCCGTTACACGGAGAGGCTATAGGAACAGTGGCCCTTAACCCTAAAGCTGATGGATTGCAGAAATGCATTGCTATGCCTTTAACAGGGATTTACATTTTGACTAAGAGATACCAGTGCATAAAAGTCAACGAACAAAACTCACTTTACCGATGAACAAACAGAAGTAGGTTTGTCATAATAGTGATAAAATTGGGAAATCACTATAAAAAATTCTGTTTGTCTTGTTTCAAAAAATCATAGTGAAAATAAAACAAGTGTTCCTTAATAAATGCACGTGTGTTTTTTTTTTTTTTTTTTTTTGGTCGTTTACTGCCTCACACAAAATTCACACAAATTTAAATCCACCCATTTTCACACCAGGCACAAAAAGAGGTTTTTCCCCAGTAAACTGCGTTCGCTCTGGAAAGAAGGCCGCATTTTTAAAACTGTCAGGATACTTATGACAGCATTCGGTATATGCAATGAGTTACAGATTGCACAATAGTTCAGGAAATGTTAAAGTAAATGGATTCTAAACAGTTAAAAACGTAAGATAAGATTCAGACGAATCGCACCGTAATGTGTGAAGCATCAATACAGAAGGAAGCACCTGAGTTGAAATCAGCTCCTGTCAGTCATTTGTGATTGTATATTTACACAGCTGAAAAAAAAAATTTCTGCTGTTTCCATGGTTTTTGAGGGCATGGTGTAATCTTTCTTATTCTCATTCAACATCAAATGCTATTTTTGTCGGTCTTCAACGCTGAAATGATGCCATTCTGGGTTCTGTGCTTTAAAGAATATTTCTAAGTACTGTGGGATTAATTATTTAATTAACTGAACAAAGGTTATCCCGTATCAATCCACATTTTAATTGAAGCATACACTACGGCATCTCACTTATGCAAACCCTGGGACTATCAGAGCACTCATATCAATAGAGATTTGACGAAGTACATTCTTTACTTCTTGGCTTCAGGTTCTCCATGAGGGTTGACAGGAAGTATTCTACAACCACAATGAATAATATCTCTTTTTCCTATATGAGATTACCCCTCACAGAGCAGGGAACACAACACCAGCTGTTTCAGTGCTATCAGAGGTGAAGGGAGGTTCGAAGTTCACAGGTCACCCCATTTATCTCCTCTT